CTGTGGTGTAAAAATGCTAAGAGGTTTAGAACCAGGGCCGGAGTGGGACACCTTTTCAGCTCTGGAGTTTCAAGCCTCAGACCGGCCCACCTCAGTTCACGACTGACTATATTAAAATAAGTAAATAAATATTTCCGAATCAGTTTCTAATGGCACTATCATGTCTTTTTTTTTTTTTTTTTTTTTTTTTTTTTTTTTTTTTTTTTTTTTTTTTTTTTTTTTTTTGAGAAAACAGCTGCTTTAGAACTTCAAATGTTCTACAACCCTAACAGTATTATATGTCTTATCAAAAAATGAAAACACTAAATTACTCTAGCAAGGATCGAACCCAGGTCCGCAGCGTCTTAACCTAACGTGCCAACCACTCGACCACAACAAAAGAGAAAAGTTGTGGTAAAATAATGAATAAAAAGCTGTGGTCAAGTAAATGAATTAAAAAAGTGTCACTGCTGAGAGCAACAGATTCTGGAGCTAGGGACACCGGCCCTCGCGGCCAAAATAAAACAGACCGGCCCACCGGGAATTCTCCCGGTCCTCCCGATTAGCCAATCCGGGCCTGTTTAGAACAGGTGTGTGGGGGAACGGATATCATCCTGCATCCCTTCATCCTGCGAAGATAGATCAGATATGGTTAGGTGTATCGTTGGATTGAAATGTTATACTTAGTTCAGAAGACTTAAATTATAAAGGCTAGTGTGAATATGGCATCGAGGGTGTGGGCTATGTGAGTGGAAAAGTGTCATTTGCAAAGAGTGTAAATGTATTTAGAAATGGATGTGGAGTGTAATAGGTTGGATGAGGGTCAGCTTCTGCAACCAGCTGACATGATCTCTGAAATGAGAAAAACAAGAGAGAATCAGAAATGACATTACAACATGGTACATGTATGGCAAACACAATGAATTATTTTAGCTGATAACCATGCGGGGCGTCTTAATAAGAGCATGGGCAACTAAGTGTGGAAGTGCCTTTGTTAATGCATGGTACGAAGCCTCATTGTCGCAACGAGCAAAGATAGTAGAGGTAGGCATTTGTCCCTCCTAAGGATGGCATATTAAATGGGAAATCTGCTCGACTAGTGATCCTGATGTACCTCTTGAAGACAGGGTAGGTGGAATTATAGTGGAGTTTAAACCCCTTGGTTTGTATCTAACGCAGAGTCAATTGATGAAACATCAGACATGTCAGAAATGTCCTCCTCTTATTCGTGGAAGTCAAAGCGGGAAGTTTGTTTCTTTGCTGTTTTCACATCTAACCAACTTGCCATTATAAGCTTATGGCTTATAAGTGTATGGACATGAGTCACTGGGGCATATTACGATTGGACTTCTATGCCTAATGCATTGAATGTTTTTCAGTAGCAGAGTAAACTTTTTAGAAGTTAAACTGCTATCAGATGTGGCAGTTTTTTTTTTTTTTTTTTTTTTTTTTTTTACATTTTATAATTATTTATTTTCTTTATTATTTATTTATTAATTTATGTATTTATTTATTTATCATCTGCCAACATCAAACCCTGAACTTAAAATTAATGTCACCATTTAGTAGTAATTGTGTAAATGTAATGATAATCATTCATGAGCTTGTCATGAGAGAGGGTGGGACCATCTCAAATTTTTGAGAGTTCATTGGATGGTGGCGCTTCTCCTTTCAGCTATTGGCTCGAAGGAGTGTCAATCAAAGTTGCAGAAAAAGGCTGGCGGCCATTTTGTTTGCCAGAGAACTAGTGTTATGATTGGAGACGCTACTCTATTGAATGCACCACAGCGACTAGTTTGGAGGATTAACATGGATGTTTATCAATGTATGCATAAGTTGTGGACTGATGTTTTAAGGATTGGATTGTCTACAACCTTGATTGAGAGGTGAGTCATTCTATTCACGCTAGAATCATCCTTTAAAGATGGATGTTTAATCTTAGTTGTAGTTTGTGAGGCTTCCCCTTAAAAAGTGTCATGTATGTTACCGCTGGTGCACCCCTAGAAGAGAGTTCAGCTTGAATCGCAGGCATTGAGAGTTTAGGCAAAGTTCATGGATGGTGATCGAGTGTTTACTGTGATCTTGTTGGAGAATTGGGTTGAAGACACAGAGATTGCATTGTGTGAGGCAATTGAAGTAGAAGGTTGAGAAGTTGTAGTTGGATAAGTTGGTGTAGCTGGAGAAGTTGATGTAGCTGGAGAAGTTGTTGGATAAGTTGATGTAGCTGGAGAAGTTGATGTAGCTGGAGAAGTTGTTGTTGGAGAAGTTGATGTAGCTGGAGAAGTTGTTGTTGTTGGAGAAGTTGATGTAGCTGGAGAAGTTGTTGTTGTTGGAGAAGTTGATGTAGCTGGAGAAGTTGTTGTTGTTGGAGAAGTTGATGTAGCTGGAGAAGTTGTTGTTGTTGGAGAAGTTGATGTAGCTGGAGAAGTTGTTGTTGTTGGAGAAGTTGATGTAGCTGGAGAAGTTGATGTTGTTGCTGGAGAAGTTGTAGCTGGAGAAGTTGATGTAGCTGCAGTAGCAGTAGCAGTAGCAGTAGCAGTAGCAGTAGCAGTAGCAGTAGCAGTAGCAGTAGCAGTAGCAGCTGATGCAGAGCAGTGTATTCTTCAAATCGAAGATGACTGTAGTGAGAAAACCCTGGCTCTTTATAGTGGTTAGGAATGGCCTGATTGGTGGATCAAGCATGCTAATGCAGGACCAGCCGTGTTCAATCATAATCACGTGCTCCTCTCGAAATTAGTTTATGAATAAACTTCACTTATTTGCCCTTAAAAAATATTATGATTTTAATACATTTAATAATACAATAATAAATGAATAATTTAAAATTACAATATTTTAGATATTTCTTAGCAAAAGATTTTAAATATTGTGTAAAAACAAGCCTTTACTTGTATCCATACACTTTTTCCCAACATAAACTTTGAAAAAATACAAAAAAAAATTAACAAATGTTTTAAAAGTTTTTAAAACTATAATAAACTAAATCTATGCACAACAATCTGTCCAGGTCGATGTCCTCAGCAGTAAATACACGGATCACATTTAAACAAATGTTATTGTAAAAGAAATAATTAAACTATTATGATAAATAGAGTTAAAATGTCCTTTTTTAATTAAAAAGTTGAAAGTTTTATTGAGATGGATTGTTGGTGATTGTGGGTTTTGGCCAGATTGGGTAGTAAATCATGAACAAAGGAAAATGAAGACTTGTTTTAAAAATATTTAAGACCTACAACACAATATTTCAGTAAATTTAAGACTTTTTAAGGCCTAAAATTTAGATTTTGGAATTTAAGACATTTTATGATTCGCGGAAACCCTGTTTAAATACAATAGCCCTGGAAATAAGTTATTATAATAATGTGGTTCTAACTCAGATACTATTAGTAACAGCCAGTAACAACTACTAGAAACAAGTTTAAACCCATAAAGAATTTGGTAAAAAAAAAAAAAAAAAAAAAAGGAATTTACAATAATACATAAAATAATGACAAAAGACCTGAGAACAAGTAACAAGAAAGAAACTTATTCCTGTCTTTATATGAGTGCTTATGTGTGTTTAGGAGAACTAGGCAGCACACTCAGGGCTGCAAGATGGATTTAATTTAGTATTCTTATTATTAAAATATATCTGAATGAGGATTAAATGACTGAGTTGGTCTTTGAGAATAAAAACGAACCTGTTTGTTCCTGCAGATCTTCCTGTTTGACTGTGAATGCTTCTTCAATCTTCACATCTTCACTCTCCTCTTTAATAAACGCCATCTTTATAACAGTGTGGAGATCAGGCACTTCATCAGGAGTTTTTCTCTGTGTTTGGACACTTTATCCTGTTTAAAATGAACAAAACAATAAAAAATGTCCTGTTTAAAATAAATAAAACAATGAACAGAAACAAAATAACTTCTCTCTAGAAATGTCTTCATATGAGTAATCAACAAAAAGAAATCGGGTAAAACGTTTCTTTAAAACACTTTTTACACACTTTATTCAAACAATAGCTCTCAAATAATGAGAGATTATAGATTATAGAAATAGTACTACGTTGTATAAAAAGGTAAAATAATATTTCCAACAGCAGGAACATAATTTAATATCGTTTAAAAAACCTAAAACTTCAGAACTTTAACTTTAAATCGGTTTATATCTGTAAACGTTTTAAAACAAACCTTACTCCAGTTGATCCATAGCGCTGATGCGGCGCCGCCTGATGACGTCACAGGCTACGCCAAAATAAAAGTCATTTTTTTTGTTTATCTTTTTTGCCACTTACTGTTGCATTCATGACTTATTGATACATTTCGCCCATCTTTTTCTCTTTACACTATATCTGCTCTCTCTCTCTCTGTCTCTCTCTCTCTTTCTCACACACAAACCTTCCCAGATAGCAAACCAATGTTGATTCAACGTTGAATAAGGGGTTCTGGGGAGAAGAGACTTTCCTGAGGTACATTTAAAGTGCTTTTAAAACTTATAAAATGGCAAGAAATATAATAATAATAAATAATAATAATAATCTCACAATTATTAAGAGAGGAAATAGCTATGAAAGGAAAATAGTATATTGTAGCCACACCTGTTTGTTTTGTGTCTACACAAATCTATTTTGTCAAATACTACACACACACACATTAGTAGTCATATTAACTTAAAATATTGTAATTATTATACGTGTATAAAATAGACATATACGTTATTGGCAGCAATGTATAATCTAATTTCAATTTTGCATTTTATTTAAAATGTTTAACAAATGTTTATATTAATTTACTGATTCAATTTACTCTAACATGCCCTTCCAGCCACAACCCATATCTGGGAAACATCCACACACAAACACACACACTCATACACTACGGACAATTTAGTCTAACCAATTCACCTGTACCGCTTGTCTTTGAACTGTGGGGGAAACCGGAGCACCCGGAGGAAACCCATGTGAACGCAGGGAGAAGCAGTGACCTTCTTGTTGTGAGGCGACAGCACTACCTACTGCGCCACTGCCTCGCCTCTTGCAGTTGTTTTTTTTTTTTTTTTTTTTTTGCATCCAACGAAACTGATGGGAGTTGAATTAAAATAGATTGTTGCTGGATTGACATTTTAATAAATTATATAAAGAAGTATAGAAATAAAAGTAAAATGCAAATGCATAATTTAAATGGTTTATACTAATGGTTGATTTCTATAATTGTCTATAATGTATTCAAATACTTTTATTTATTTCTGTATTTATTAAGTTTTTGTTTGTTGTATTGTTTATCTGTTAGAACTCACACTGTATTGCTAACAGCAAGTGACAGAATTTCTTTCTTTCTTTCCATTTTCACCAAATAACTCCTGCAGGATTTGTCACTTGCTTGTATCCATTGTGAAACCTGTAAGAAATTCCTGCACATATCGTCAATGTGTCCTACAGGATTTTATAATTCCTGCAGTACTGCAGCTATCCTGCAGGGGGAAAAATAGATCCTTCAGGATTCCTGTAAAAAGTACTGCATGATTCTAAAACCTGTAGGAATTGCCTGCACATATTGACATTTTGTCCTGCAGGATTTCATAATTCCTACAGGATACCAGCAGGTTCCTGCGGAAAAAAATGAAGAAAACATAAGGAAAGAATAAACTCAATGAATGTATCTTCACATTATGCAGGAACTGAAATACCTTAGGTAATTTAAGAAGGCAGTGAAAGCAGTATTTCATTTTCAGGGAAATCCACATTAAAGGATGTTCCCAGATAGCACACATGCGTCGCAGAGACGTCTGCTGGACATCCACGTTTTCATCTGGGAGACGTCTTATTCAGGGCGTTTACTCATCTGGAAAACGTCGCATAGACGTCCTTGTCATACATTCAAACAACGTCTATGCAATGCATTACAGATGTTCATTTTTAGAATGTTAGGTCTGTGAGACATCTTATTTATGTAGCATAGACATCGTTTTTTTAGTTGTTTATTTAGACATTCCTTCATTCATACTGCTATAAATAACAGTTACAGGTACTCTGATTATACATCCGTCTTCACATATATAATAAGCTAAAGTATATCCACTCAAAATGAAAAACACAACGGCTGAAGAATTATTTGTAGAATTTTATTATATTATAATTGATTAGAATTCATATTTTTTGAAGCAAACAAAACCAAATAGCAGCAAATAAATAAATAAATAAAAAACAACTGGCTTAAGAGGCCATTCTTCCTGGGGCCAAGCGGAGAAAGTCTTTCAAATATTTTTCGGCTTCTGCCTCTGTTGGAGACGGAAGCACGGGGTTCCTCATAGCTGCACCTGTTAAAAAAAGAATAAAAATAAAGAAATTAAAATAAGGCGGTTTTAAGAAGGCTCAGGGGGTGTTTTATTTTATTGTGAGCCTTTTATTTTTATCTGACCAAAATTAATACACACCATGTTAATTATTGCATTTGACTACATAATAATAATAATAATAGAGTGGAAGAAATAATACTATGATTGTTTGAAATGCGTTTAGCTAAATGGCATATCGTCTATTTTAGATAATGATCGTTAACACCATTTTTTAAATCAGTTTAGCCTACCTTTATTTGATTGCTGTTCATTTGTTGTTGAAATACGGCTTAGATTGGAAATATTTTTACTATTCGATCATGCACCGTCCTCATGTAATCAATATCATATTCTTTAAAATGTTACTCTCAAATAAATTAAGCTATAGCTTTGAAAAAATTTATGTCAAATAGAAACGAGAGGTGCAAAAGCTTAAATCCGCCATAAAATGAATAAAGAAAAAATAACAACAACAAAAACAAGTGTACTTGCATTAGTATGCACTTGGACAACGTGGTCAAATTCAAGGAATCGACTCTTTCGTTTTCGAAACTTCATCACTATTGCGCATGTTTCCTCAAAGCATCACACTCAGCACGTAGAAGACACCAGTCCACGCGGGAATACTGAGGTAAGCAGTCTGATTCATTGTTATTGATATGTGTGGTCAGTAAAATATTTATTCCACTTTGTTTGTAGTAAATTTAACAAGGTAATAATTTTATTTAGACGAATAAAGCAATGTTTAAACACGTTGTGATGACAACTGACCAAGCAGCAGTTCAAGGTGATTAGGGCTAACTTAAATTTCGGGAAAATTTGTTCTTTAAATTTATTAGATTAATATCATACGACAAATTGACTGCTAAATAATGAATACTGTAAAAGTGTACATATGCATTATACAGTAGTGCTGGGAGATTATTCGAAAATCGAAACCTCCCAGCCGGCACACGACCGACCTTCAACGTTGAAATATGGTTGAAATAAGGTCGGATGTGTTCTGAACGTTGAAATAATGTTGATATAACGTTTAATGTTGAACGGTTGAAAAACAGCCTGCATATGACAAGGCTTCAACGTTGAAATGTGGTTGAAAATACGTCAGTTGTTGCTTTAATGTTGAAACAATGTTGAATGATAAATGCAGGCCCGGATTAAGAACTCAGGGGCCCCTGGGCACATTGTATTGTAGGGCCCCCTACCTGGCCGCACCCCAATAGTTGAATTTAAAAAATAAGAATAATATAATAATTTTTAAATAAAATTAATCTATAATTTGTTGCCCACATATTTAAATAAATGATATATAGTACATATGTATTTATAGTCTGCAAAGATTTAAATTATTTTTCAAAGCATTAAATAGAAATACTAATAAAACTACATATATATATATATATATATATATATATATATATATATATTTTTTTTTTTTTTTTTTTTTTAAGGGTATTTTAGTGTATTGCTTTTACAAACTTATAAAGCATATTATTGCCATGGCATATAACGCACAATGCTTCTCCAATCCAGTTCTATGAATCTGAGTTCTATGAATCTGAGTCTTTCATAATACAAACACTGATTTACTCTCTCTCTCCTCTCCCTGTATTTTCTCTACTCTTCTCGTGATGAAAACTTGATTATAAACCTAAAAGTATCCGAAATCACAGACACTATACCTCTTCTCTCCCCTCTCTCTCCTCTTCTTGGCCTTTCTCTCTCTCTCTCCCTCTCTCCCTTTCTGTCTGTCTCTCACACGATGAATCCAGTCCGCGCTGCGCTGCCGTTAGCCTCCTCCGCCTGGTTAATGCTAGCTTCTCATCATTTAAAGTTACCATAACGTCTTCTTCTGTACCCTCATTCTCCTGATCACGGGTCTGTTTAAAGAAGGTGTGTATGGAAAATGCCTCAATAAAGATGCCTCCTCTCCTCTTTCTCTCGCGTTTGCTAAATCCACTTGTCCACTCATTTTTGATCTATGACAGATAAAGTCCGCTCAGTTTAGTGCGGGTTATTACAAAACTGACGTTTCCGCGCTTGACCAATTACAGCATTCTGTTTAGTTAAAGAAAGAAAGGCAATTTAAATATAATAATAATATTAATATGTGATCGCGATTTTTTTGCTCAGAGGAAATACAGTTGTCTGAGCAATAGAGTTTTTGAAGAGAGGGAGGCGCGGCAGGCGCCTATAATAAGGCTAAACATTATTAAATACCCACGAGACACTTGAGACTTTATATCACATTTGCATTATTTTTAAAAAATGTTTCTTTCCTGTTAAAAATAAATATATTTCCAATCTGATATGTAATGGGGAGAAAAAAAAGTAGCACGAGTTCAACTGATGGTGGATTCGAACCGATGTTATGTGTAATCGCGTCAAAAGTTGGTGCTGTGTGCCTTACAAGGTGCGCCACTGCGGCTGTATTATTTCACTGCTCTTTATTCATCTTGTCTCTATCAATCAGGCATCGATAGGCGTAAACCCTGAATAGCTTAGTCCAACTGGATGCGCTATTTGCAATTAGCCTAAAAAGACACTCCGAAATTGTCTTTTTTTCTCCCCCCTCGCAGGGGCCCCTAGTGCGCACGGGCCCCTGGGCCTGTGCCCATAAGGCCCATTGGTTAATCCGGCCCTGGATAAATGATTGAAAAAAGTTACAGAAATCCTTGTACAAATCAACGTTGACATTTTTTAACATGATCTGTATGTTGAATTAACGTCATGGCTTCACCCAACATTCAACATGTTTGGTTACCATGGTATCGGAGGACTCGGCGCACGCGGCCACGCGCAGCGCTTCACTTCACTTAATTACGAACACCTGACCTGCAGTGCAGCAGAATTCAGAGGTAAGCGTGTTTTTAGATGCTTTAATGTTTTATTTACCCCCCGATTTTGTTTTACACACAGTGTATCTTAAACGTGACTTTTGAGGTGTAGTGTTTCGAATTTTAAAGCATTTAAAACTTTACAGTTTGGTTTTTAGTCTTGTTAGCGCTCAGGTGACGCAGCAGCTAACCTCGAGGTAATGTCACATGTTTAACGTTAGTCTAAAGCGTTTTTATGGCAAATTCAGAGCGATAAACTCCAAACGCAGTTTAAAGTTACTGAGCAACGTTATAAAACAATATCCTTTTATACGCTGTATCATTAGTGTTATTATTACAAAGTGAACTGCTGTCGTTTCACTGTTGTTGTTGTTTTTGCTTTTAGACATGTAACTTACTCCAGAGACGCACTAACTTGCACAGCATTGAATGGAAAAGGCTTTGTCCATGTAAGTTTACCTTTAACTAAGGTATCTGTTAAATCTTATTGGTGCTTTGGTTTGTGATATTCTCTTTCTAATCAGTTTGTTTATTGATTGTTAGGCTATGTTGTGATATTAGCCTATATTGTTATATTGATATTATTATTGTGAAATCATGTTGTGATGTTATACTATGTGACAGTATTGGGCAACAAATATGTATTTAGTGAGAAATTAATGCTTAAATTACACTTTGTATAGTAGCAGATAAGAGGTGTAATGGGTTTTAACTTTCTGGGTTTTCTGGAAGGTCCAGTTGAGGGGCATCAAGAACACGCAGATGGCCTAAACCTGTGTCAGCCTGGACAGACTGCAGTTCTGCTACTCCACGCCAAGGCTTTTGTATGGATGTCTGACTACTACTGTATTCTCTAAAGGTATTACTGGAGCAAAACAACAGCACCTGTTACAGTGAAATTTGTATTCATAAAAATAGTGATACATGTGTAGCAGGTCCAGTACATGTGATGTCATTGAGAAGTTGTTTTTATTAAATGTCATTAAAACAAATAAATAAACATGCTATTTAAATAAATCTAAATATTAAAAACTTGAGGATTAAGATGACAAATGAAATGCATCATCTGTCTTGCGAAAAGGGTCTACTTAAGAATTCTGGTGTTTTCCAACTGAAAGGGATAGTTCACTCAAGAATGAAAATTTACTCACATTTTACTCCCCAAATGGTTTAAAACCATTATGAGTTTATTTTGTTGAACACAAAAGATGCTATTCTGAAAAAAACTAAAAACTTGTAAACATTGATAGTAGATGGTTATAGATTTCCAGCTTTCTTCAAAATATCTTCTTTTGTGTTCAATGTGGTCAGTAAATGACGACAGAATACAAATTTTGAACCATCCCTTTAATTCTCTGTCCTACATGCAGACTTTTGCACAAGTGCTACTCCTTCTAGAGTTTTTCTCAACCCGTATGTCTAAAAAGCTTTAAACAGCTTTTACAGTACATGTAATGGTTTACAACAACTTGTAATTATTAGATGTGTTGAATGTTTCATGATTCTTTACTGCAGCCTTTGTTAAAAAAAATAATAAAAAAAAAAGTAATTTTTTTGAGAATCTGAAATTTGAATTCTGGAAATGCTGGCACCGGTGGTGGCGAAGGGCTTCCTGACGATATCACACCTAATTCTTCACTTCTCTTAGTTAGGAATATTCAGATGGATGAGTCAAAATTATTGAGTGTGACAATATTATAGGACAAATTCGGATTCAATTAAAAATAAATATTTGAATTTCACTTTGTATAATAGCAGACACCAACTTAGTTGTAACCTCGTATTTCATCTATTGCAGGTTTTCTGGAAGCTCCATTTGAGGGCATCAAGGACATACTGATGGCCTGAACCAGTGTCAGCCTAGACAGACAGACATCTTTTGCAGTTCTGCTGCACAAGACCAAACTCTCTGCTTTTGTATGGATGTCTGACTAGTACGGTGTTCTCTGAAGGTATAACTGGAGCAAAACAACAGCATCCGTTACAGTGAAATTTGTGTTTTATAAAAGATAGTGATATGTGTAACAGGTCCAGTACATTTGTCATAAAGGTTAAATCACAGTAAGTACTGTAAAAATAACTTGTTTGCCTTTGCCACAACAGGTCATGGTGTGTGCTTACTGCTCGTAGTAAACACACACGCTGATCAGATGCGGGAGAGATATAAGCAAACACATTTGTATTTACTGTTTTGTTTTGCCTCACTAAAGTGTTGTTGGAGCTTGGTATGTTCACAGTGGAAATCACTGAAGTCACATAGAACGTTTTGACAATGTGTTTTGTGCCTTATCTGGACAATGACCATCTTGGGACCATTGCTGTCTGTAGAGGATGAGGAGCATTTCATGTAAAATATTTTAGTTTGTGTTTTGAAGATTAACAGGTCTCTGGGATGACACAAGTAATTAATTACAGAACCTATATGAACACTTAATGTGACATGTAATAGTGAAATAGTGGTCCTACATTCACAAATGTGAGCCATTATTATAAGACCCCTGTGAACATGCAATTTTTATGATACTAATAATAACGGAATAACAAATTGCTATTACTGTTGTGTTTGTGAGAGAGAATCAAACCATATATTCTACACTTTTTCTTGATGATTTACTGAAATATTTGTCTACATGTTCCACTGTCACAGGTGCTCAGTTTTGCTGCAGTAATGCTAAACACAATAGATGTACTTTATGCAAAAAAAAAAAAAAAAAACTAAATATTTAGCATGGAGACCTGCAAAGTGAAGGAGCAATGTCAGGTTTATAAATTATAGCAGCAGTTTTCACTATTGTGAAAGTGAAGCCATTCATTCACAATGAATTGGAATAGCAAACCTCATTATTGATTTTGTAGGAAACTCACCTGGTGTTTGAGAAATAAATATGTATTTAACTGCTAGACTGATATAGATGTTTTAGTGTTTGACACTTGATTCTTTGTCCCCAGTGCCATCTTTTACCTCGTGTTTCTCTCAACCTATAAAACCTCAAACAGATGTAATGTATTTCACTTGTGATTCTTAGTTGTGAGTGATGTTTTTTATTTTATTTTTTTTACTGCAGCCACTTTAAAAATGGGTATTTTGTCAACTTTGTAAACAGAATTGTATTTTGGAGACTGTGATGGTTGAAGCGTAGTTTAGTTACTTAGTTTAATTTAGTTAGTATCTGTCTTTCTGAAGATGGTAACACTTTACAATAAGGTTGTATTAGTAAGTGTTAATGTATTTACTAACATGAACAAAGAACAATGAAGCATCTTTCATATAAAGAAAGTACAGTTCATGTCAGCTCAGTGCATTAATGTTAACAAGCATACATTTTGATTTTAATAGCATCGGGACATATTTCAATTAATTAAGTGATTAATAAATGCTGTACAAGTATTTGTTCTTTGTTCATGTTAGTAAACATTAACTAACTTTAATTCATGAAACCTAATTAAAAAGTGACTATTTAATTGTATGCCTTTTTCTGTATTTGAGCATGTATAGTAACCTGCATGGTTTTAATGAACTATGTATGCTGTAAATGTTTAGAATAAATGAAATAATGAGGTGTGTATTAAATAAATTGATACACAGGCCAAGTTTTGTATTTTTGTTGTGTATTTTTTATTTATATATTTGTCTATATGTATGGACTTTGCGTTGTATGTAATTTCTATTTAACTTACGTTGAAATGTATGACGGTGAAACAACGTCACAGTATCAACGTTGATCCAATTTGCAAAATCGAAAGGTAATTCAACCTTCATTCAACGTCTACAAAACGACCACAATTCACCCATGATGAAGGTAAGAGTGAAACAACGTTGTGATTTCAACGGTGAATCACCGGTGGTGGTCCGACGGTGAAACAACGTCACTATATAAACGTTGATCCAATTTGCAAAATCGAAAGGTAATTCAACGTTGATCCAACCATAGACCTGACGTTGATTCAACGTTGAATCACCGTTGAAATGCCGGCTGGGCTAAATCCATAACCGACATATATCCCCACGTGGCGATTTAATGCATGTACCGTCCACATGTACTTCAGCAAAGCTCAAGCGAATGCAGGCAATGTGATTAATATTCAGAGGCATGACAGATTTTCTTTTTGATTATTATATGACCTATAATTTGTGAAGCATAACTCACTTTTCTTTAGCGTATATTCATAATCAAATCGACTGAGGTTTTGTTTTTATTATTTCTAGTTATCACATACAACGTAGGTGCAGTAATCAGCACTATCGCCTCACAGCAAGAAGGTCGCTGGTTCGAGCCTCGGCTGGGTCAGTTGGCATTTCTGTGTGGAGTTTTCAATTTCTTCCCGTGTTCGCTTGGGTTTCCTACGGGTGCTCCGATTTCCAAAAGTCCAAAAGACGAGGTATGGGTGAATTGGGTAAGCTAAAAAAATGGTCCATAGTGTATGAGTGTGTGTGTGTATGTTTCCCAGTGATGGGTTGCAGCTGGAATGGCATCCGCTGCGTAAAACGAATGCTGGATAAGTTGGCGGTTCATTCTGCTGTGGCGACCCCGAAATAATAAAGGGGCTGAGCCAAAAAGAAAATGAATGAATGAACATACAATGTAAGCTGTCTTTTCGTAAAGAGAAGCATGCACACACACGCACTTAAAATGTTATTGTGAACAGCAATGTTCACATTATGTACTTTTTCACATTGCTTTATTATTTACTATTTTCCAGACACAAGTTATGCTTGTTAAAGATACTTGTCATTTTCCACTTTTGACATGGAAATATTTTTTTAGGGAAACTTTCTTTTAACACTAAAACTGAAATGTTTAGTAAATGAATAAATGGAACTTGATTAAGTACAAAAAATTACTTGGAAAATAATATAATATAATGATTCAATATTTCAAAAGGAGGTAAAGTGTTCAATCAATCAAGGTTTTGATTTAAGGTTTAATCTCCTTGCCCTAATATACAAGAATGAACAATTCTCCACTTAAAATAATGATCTAAATTTTATTTCTAAAACACTCTTGTGTATTAAATATCATTTTACAATATATGAACAGCATATGCTAGCTCGTAAGCTTATAGCACACTGATAACCATATTATGTGTGTACAAGGTAATCATGCTATAGAGATATACTGGCAGTTCTGTCTTATAGGTATTATCTAAACCGTTCATTGCAAGACAATTAAACATACCTATCACAAGTGTCCCAATATTTGTGTTTTTTAGGCCTCTTTTATCTCCTCTTCCACACCAGTTGAGCTGTTTGGCCACTGGACCAAACACTTTGGAGGCTACACGCCAAATGGTTTTTTTCAGAGTTTGTCCTCCTCTGATGGATAACCTCTTCATCTTAAAAATAAAAGGTAATATTAAATCTTTACAGACAAAGTGCAAGGACTATGACCCAGTTTTACAGACAAGGATGAGCTTAAGTCTGGACTATAAGTCTTAGTTAATGTTAGATATAAAACTACTTTTATAAAAATCCATGTGAAAGAAAATATAAGCACAATACTAGCGTGCATCTGGTAACAAAATAATGGCAATGAGATATTGTAAGGCATCACACAGCTCACACATACATTTTTAGTTTGGGACTAGCCTTAAGTGTTGTCTGTGAAACTGGCCATATAATAAAGATTTACTTAACAACAGCTGTAAAACCTTTAAATCTTAAATATTCGTACCATCTTCTCCATCATTGGTTTTTCAGCTAATTGCCTTTCCAGTTGTTCAAGGTCCTCAATTGTTTCAATAGGAAAGGTGTCATCCTCAGTGTCCACCTCCATTTGACCACTTGACCGAGGGGCAAGGGACTGGACCACAGCTGCAAGGGACTCCACAGCTGCAACACAGTAAGTGGGTTAATCTCTATTCAACTATACGTAAATATTTTTTAATTATTATTATTATTCTTAGCACTTAAATTTTACTTACGTGTGCATTGACTGGAGATGCAGCTCCATCGGCTGATACCAGAAGCATCTGCAAGCAAAATCACTTTTGAACGATTCACAAAAATGTTATGAGGATATTGTAATAATATGCTTGAAACCTTAAACGATAAAAAAAAAAACTATATCCGTCTGATTACACATTGTTTTTCTATGGCTAAAATGACTTAAACTATTCACAGAATTCAGAAAAGCAAAATAGCAAAACTGAATTAAGAGGAAATAAAACTGAATTTTAAAAAGCAGACAGAAGCCAACCCCCTCTTGGTCTGTGCTTTTACGTAAAATAGTTTATATGTGAATTTTTCTGTGCATACGAAATCGTTAGTTCCCCAAAGTTATTGAAAGCATAAATTAACAAAACACTTTAAATTAATTTTCAAACCATTAATTTATAGGTAATGATAAATTATATATTGTACTCTAATACATTAATATTCTGAATACAGTGAGTTTTTTTACTGTCACTATAATTAACGAAGTGTTTTTTGTTGTTGTATAGTGTTGTATTTATTAGGTTACAAGGAAATAATTAGATAATGTTTTGCGAACAGCTTATTAACCATGGAAAATTTTCACAGAAAACTGGAAAATGTCATTGATTAGTTGCTTTGAACAAGTTTCATATTCAGTGTTGATTAATATGTTTACAAATAAATTAAAAGGATGTACATTTACTTACGTTTACACACCATTAAGTGGTTATAAACATTTGAGTTTTTTTTTTGTTCTGCTAAACACAAGGAAGGTATTGTGAAGAAAGCTAAAAGCCAGTGATTATTGACTTCTATAGTAGGAAAATGCTATGGAAGTAAATGGTTACAGGTTTCCAACTTTCCTCAAAATATCTTCATTTGTGTTCAGCAAGAAGGAAGAAAGTTTGGGTAACACTTCTTAACAACTGCACACTGAATCATGCATTTAGCATTAGCAAATTGTTAATTAATTTGCAAGAAATTTAATTAATTTGTTAAGATTTAACTACATTAATAGATGTTGGTTAGCAGTATATAAATACAACTACAAATACTGTATAAAAAACATAATAATAACAATAATTCATAAGAAGTAACTGTCAATTAAAAAAAACAAATGACTTACTCTTCGCTCTTGCCTGGGTACTTGAAGGTCTCAGCTCAGAAGTTGTGTCTTCTGTGTGATTGTACAGACAATGTAACATTACCATGTTAATAATTAGAAACTAATTTGCTGTGTATGTTTTTTTGAATGTTCTTGCACCTCGATAGCTCGATGGGTGGTCCCCCCAAGCATCTTCTTGCTCATTTACATGGGACATGCTTATTGGAAAAACTGGTGCTGAGAAAAAGGTCAAGTTGGTAAGTTGCATTTGCTACTATGACACTACATAAAATGTATATAATTTATTTATTTTTTACACTTACTCAGCATTTTTCTTTGATCTGCTGATGGCTTTGGATCTTGGACAGAGTATGTGTTGTCTAAATAATAAAAAACAAACAAACAAAAGTATAAAAAGGTTGCAAAAAATTACAATAAATGTGTTTAGGATTTCCTCTGTATACTTCATTATTGTTTTATTTAATCTTTGATGGTAGAAACATGTAGGTGATCAGGTCACCCATATAGAAATCTGATGCATGTAAATATACAGGGTGATTCAAAAAGAATACCACAACTTTTAAAATCAAGAACTCTTCAAAGAAGAGGAGGTCATATTGAACATCTATGAACTTGTTTACTACTAAAAAACTTTTAAGGACTTCACATTGATTATTTACCCAAGGTTCCATCATGTTTCTTTGATTAAATACAGATTTTCAAAGTTGTGGTATTCTTTTTTTAATCACCCTGTGTATATAGAAAACAAATAATTGAATTAAAAGTTCATATTTAGACTTCACATACAATATTTGTCATTGACCACTTATATATTTGTTAAACAACTGGAATTACAAATATGTATAGATATGTAAATTTTATATTAATAATTAATATTTTTAGGTTTTAATAATTACATTTAATAATATATATATATATATATATATATATATATATATATATATATATATATATAATATTTTTTTCTGTAGAATGCTTTAAAATATTATATTTGTCCATTAGGTTTGTCAGTACTAAAGTCAAAATAATTTAGCTAAATAAATTTATATTACGGTTCAAAAATATATACAAAAAACCTCTAAAATACAGGAAAAAATCAAGAGAAACTTAAAATAATATTACATTTATTATTATTATTATAAATTTAAAAATGTGTAGTTTACTTTTTTGTGCAAATACTCATTTGAATTTAAATTTAAATTGTTTTTTTATTCCTAAAGATGTTATGTGGCCAAACTTGTATTTTAGTGCACATAACTGTTTAATAAACATCTTTTATTTAAATGAACAAAAATATTATCTCTGTTTACTGAAAAATAGATTACAATATTCCAATTCAAAAGGAGGTGTACTCATATGTGCTGAGCAGAGTGTGTGTGTGTGTGTGTGTGTGTGTGTGTGTGTGTGTGTGTGTGTGTGTGTGTGTGTGTGTGTGTGTGTCTGTGTGCGTGCGTGCGTGCGTGTGAACATATCTGTACATATTATTCCAATCGTTGAAAGATAATATTTGTAAGCAGCACAGCCATTTTTGCAATATTTCAAAATGTATATTGCATAAATAAAATATATTTTATTTGTAAAATCCAAATAGGAACTTGCATGGCATATATGTAATTTGCATAAATTTAAATGCAACAGATTTCAATATGGGCAGGTATCGCATTGGTGATCTGCATATGAGAAGCTCTGTCTTTATTGAGCTTTCTTCACATTTGACAAAATGGTACTCTTTCTACTGTTGTAGATGAATTGTGTTCTCTTTTTTGTATTTTAGTCTTAGCTTTACAGCCTTGTTTAATCAAACATTTTCTTTTTTACAATACAGCTAAATGAAATGTGACCGTAATTACCTGAAGTGAGACATACAACTTACGTGGTGCTCTGTCTTGTAAAGGCCGCAGCACAGAAAATGTGTCCTCTGTTGGATTGTACAGAAAATGTTGAGTTACCTAGTGTGAGTATGTGGAGCAATTTTCTTATTTCAGTTCTTATTTCAAATACCAATGAATCTGTTATTATTTATTTTGTTTTTTACCTTGATTTTCAGGTTGGGGTTTATCCCAAGTGTCTTGGTGCTCCACTTCCTGGCAGAACCTCACAGGTACGTCTGGAGCTGAAACTGCAATTATTTTCTTTGCAATTATGAAATGTTATTTGACATTTTTAATTGTAATACCTGGTTCAGAGAAGATTCAGTCTTTAAAGAGGCTTTCAACTTTTGGCAGAATAAGCAGATCATGAAACATACAATTTGTGCACAATTATTATGAAAGTCGATATCTGGTTATATTGACTGTGATAAGGGAGTCATGGTTTTAACTGCTAGTAACAATGAAAATTTAAGGATAGGAGAAGGATTTAAACTCTGATGACTTACTGCAAGATTCTGAAAGATAATATCTTTTAACAGTTACAAGAGGAAGTGGTCCTGTCCTTCTAGACCAGTTCTCAACCTATGCCTATGAAGTTTTCCGTGTATTTCAGTATTTCAGCTTGTGGTTATTTTTGAGTGGGTACATTTTGAGACATTGTATCCCATTGTGTCATTCTTTGACACAGAAGCTGACACATTGTACTTGTCAGTGACTAAAGGGTTCCTGATGCTTTCAAACTCTTTCAATGATGAACCGGATGAATCTTTCAGTATAGGAAATTAATTTTGAAATGAACACTGAAAACTTCTGGAAGATAAATTCTTTAAACCGATACAAAGGGAGTGGTGCTTGTCCTTTCAACCTATGCCTATAAAAGTCTCTGGGCATTTTACAACATTTCTGCGTGTGATTCTTAAGTGGGTACAATCGATACATTGAGTCAAATTGTGTCATTCTTTGACACAGAATCTGACACATTGTACTTGTTTTGGCTCTGGCAAACTGGGTTTCCTAAACTATTCACCTTAATAACTGAAATCCTATTTTATAATATTATTTTCTTCTCGGCCAGTTGATTGTGACTCTTTATGTTTAAATAATGTCAGTTTCCCCTATGAGCATTTCTTGTCCAGTGGACTCAATTTAAAAATTAGCTTGTGTTGCACTTTCTCCTAGCCATATAATATACAGTTGAAGTCAGAATTATTAGCCCCCCTTTGAATTAGTTTTTCTTTTTTTATGTATATTTTTCAAATGATGTTTAACAGAGCAAAGAAATTTTCACTGTATGTCTGATAATATTTTTATGTCTATATATTTGTTTTATTTCAGCTAGAATAAAATCAGTTTTTAATTATTTAAACCCATTTTAAGGTAAAAATTATTAGCCCCTTTAAGCTTTATTTTTTTCTGATAGTCTACAAAATAAACCATCATTGTACAATAACTTGCCTAATTAACCTAACCTGACTAGTTAACCTAATTAACCTAGTTAAGCCTTTAAATGTCTCTTTAAGCTGTATAGAAGTATCTTGAAAAATATCTAGTCAAATATTATTTACTGTCATCATGGTAAAGATAAAATAAATCAATTATTAAAGATGAGTCATTAAAACTATTATGTTTAGAAATATGTTTTAAAAATCTGCTCTCTGTTAAACAGAAATTGGGGGAAAAATAAACTGGGGGGCTAATAATTCAGGGGGGCTAATAATTCTGACTTCAACTGTATATATATTCAAGTCACTTGCTTCAACTAAATATATATATATATATATATATATATATATATATATATATATATATATATATATATATATATATATATATATATAATAGAGGTACAATGTACTTCTATTAAAAATAGGATCGGAATATTACATTTATTTATATTTGTGCACAAACTGTAGGTGAGTGTTGTCTATTCAGCGATCAGAATCATGAACCAGCCTGTCATTGAGTCAGCCTTTTGAGTCATGAATGCTGTGAAGTTACAGCTTTTACAGTTTGTAGTTACAGTATTCATGTAAAGCGAGTTACCTTGACTAGTGGAGGGAGTTTCAAAACAGGCCTGCTGTTGCTTTTCTGTAGCTTTTTGTTGGTCGCGGACAAATGCTGTTGAAACATTACAGATGAAACAGATGTTATATCTGTCTCACAAACAAAAATTACATTGTACTGCACAGATCTTTATAGCTTGAGAGTGCTGTTGCTTCTAATTAGCAATTAAAAGTTATTTGTGCCTCTTAAAATGTAATACTCAATTTATGAATGTAATAACAGTAGTTTTTTGCAAAATGTTAAAAGAACAATATTACTGGATTCAGCTGAAAACATTATGGTAAAGCAGCATGTCACAAGAGCTTGTGCATTACATTTAATTTACTGTGATTAAGGAACATTCTTGAGCATATCACAAAGTACTTAAAACATCAAATATCTGTTTTACTAATTAAAACTTACAATTGCAAAAACTGTTAATTGTTTTACATGATGTTAGCTGAGGTCGTACAAGGGGACCTGAAAAAGAAAAAAACTGCTCAGTGATCATACATACACTTTTGACTGGCAGTAATATAAGTGGTGTATTTTTACCTTTTGCCCTGATATGTCTTGGGGGTGTTGGAGCTTTTGGTGCAGGTGGGACCCTTGGTGTTGGTAGACTTTTTTCTTTATTTAGTTTCTTTTTTTTGTGGGGAGTATCGCAAGGCTCATCATCTGATGTGTATATTTTCTTTCTATGAGCACAATCAGGGTAGTTAATTATACAAAGCATGATTGGATTATAACAATGTCTTGTTTTTTAAATGTAAGAAGAAAAAAACACAAACTTAAAAATAAGTTCAATATAATTTTTATAGTAAAAGTTTTCTTTCCATCATTCTTAGGAAAGTTAGGAAATGGCCAAAATATAATAGTAAAAATAACAAAACCTTTTGCTTGTTTAAATCTGGCATAATTGTGTATTTGCGTGTTGCAAAAAATGCAAACAAACAGTTGATGATACATTTAAAACTAAATATACCTGATTTACCTGATAAGTGTGATTGAGATGTAAAAACTACGGCTGAATTTGATATTATAATTAAATATATTTACCTTTGTTACTCACATGAACTTTGTTTAGCTTCAGAAGACTGAATATTGTTGTTAAAAGTAAAATGTGTGTTTTGACAACTTACTTCGGAATTCTTTTTGCAGGCATTTCAGATTCCGAGATGTCAGATGTGTAGCATGCCTGTTTCCATTTCTTTGAAATCTTGTCAAAAGATGCTGAAAGAAATAAAGTATGTAACAATTCATGAATGCAATAGTCTATGGAATGTCATATATTATTGAATTTATCCTTTGTTTAATATTGTTTATTTACAATGTACTTCTGTGTACCTGACTCGTGTAGAATTCTGGCCTGATGCTTGGTCCAACCTTTATCTGGTTGTGGTGCCTCCATCAACCGGACACTCTTCAACACCCTGTCTATCTCCTTGTATGGAGGCCACCACGAGTGACCCTCTGAGTACCAAGACTTTGCGACAGGTCCGGTACTCCCTTCGTGAATGAACTCCACTATCAGGTACATTTTTTTTAAGCTGCAAGAACCTAGAGCCCCATAGTGTTGAAAGACACATATTACATTTCGGTTGTTTATGTGCATGATTCAAATACACAAAATACATTTCATGCAAAATAATGATGCAAGTTAATATTGAGAAATTTTTTCCCAAGCACATATTACCAATTCCAGACCACATCAATCTTAAGAACCACTACTACTTTTGTATTCATCATTCTTTATTGATATATAATTTTCTGACAACACTCAAAGTAAAAAATGCTTTAAATTCAGGTGTTTTACTGATAAAAATATAACTTGGACTGAAAAGTTGCAAAATTATTAAATGACGGTGAAAAGAAGGCAATACTAGAAATTGCAAAATAAAGTAATGACAACTATTTTGGATCATTTGAATCGAGCTATTTTCACTTTCTGCCTTCATATAATATTACATATTGGTTATAGTTGTAATTAGGGCTTGACATTAATACTCGCCAAACCACCAAATGCAGGTAGATTTCAGCTGTGGCGGGTAAAGACTGCCATTTCCACTAGCCACTTTGGCTGGTTGAAAATAATTTTTTAATCGTAGTTTTCTTAAAAGCAGGGTTCAACAATAAGGATGGTCCAGTTTTTGGGACAGTAGACAGGATTGTCAGTGTCCTGACCAGGCCAGTGCTGGCTTATCACTAAATATTATAATTTCAGTTTTTTACCGTTTATCAATATGCATGCAAATGTGATAAAAAAAAATTATATATATTTATTTTTTTCAAAATTAGTGGTATACACAGTAATGAGTGGAACAGCAAATGAGATTTTAGAATCAAGAAGCAGCATGATTGACAAAAACAACTGTGTTTATGCAAAACAAAAGATAGCAGATAAATACCAAATGAGAGCTTGATCATACACACTGTGAGACACAGGCTATTCTTACTCACTGAGAGATGTTTTTGAGAGCCGAGTGTTTAAAATACTTGTGCACTACCGTGTCCTTGCATGTAGCAATCCTCCTTGGAAATGAAACTGGTGTGATGGATTCTATTTGAAATAGACTGGACAAAAGTAATTGTCGTGCATCCACAGTCCTTCTGCTTTCAAGAGCTTTAGATTTAAAAACAGGTATTTGTAAGCAGCAGTGATTGCCACTTTAACCATTGTTTGAACAGATTATTAATGTGCCTAATGTTAACTGTGTGCACATGATTAATATTTCATTATCACACATGGTTTGTTTTTCACCTGCTTTCTTTTGCTTGCAAGTCAATTTTCTGCATATAAAATATATTTTCCCAACAACAAAATTGTGGCTAGTGAAAAAGGCAAGTGGCTAGTAACCTTGGAAACTACAAGCCTCAGTGACTGGTGATAAAAAAAGTCAATATCAAGCCCTGGTAGTGATTAAGGTTTACAATTTTCAAAATGCTCTAGGAAAAAATATGATCAGAATATCCTCTTGCACAATAATTATACTCGCACTATACAGTATATGTAAAAAAAAAAACATGTGGAAATAGATAGATACTATGTGTGTAAAGTTTAAACTGAAACAAAATAATTTCTGCAAGGGACTAAAAAAGCTTTCATTTCAATATTTTCAATCTTGCAGAGATGGATTGGTCCTGACATGACATCAGTAGGTAGATGCCAAGTGTGGAGGATGGAAGCGTGGGGATAGTCAAAAAGGAGTTAATGTTTGCTGAAGGTGGTGTAGACCATGTAAATGCCATGCTTTTCTGAAATTATGTTTTGCAGCTTTGCAACCTTTCTGCCAATATAGACAAATGGTTTGCCTGGTCCAGTTTCAGAGTATATGGGCATACTCACTCTAGGTGCATTTCTGAGGAATGCCATCCTGTTTTCCAGGTGCACACCATCCTGAATACATGTTTCACACCCATGGTAACCTGGTTGGCCATTTTAGAAAAGCATGTTGCAAAAGCAAACTTGAATGTTAACTTTAGTCATTCAAATTCAAAGCCATTTTTTTTAACTCTTTGATTTCAGAGATTAGGTCTTCGAGATACTCATTCAGGGAGCTAGTTTTACAGTACCTTCAGCCCACAATAAATCTATTGGCACATGTTCCCCCTGCACCAAATTTTAAACTTCTACTAGACTGAGCCAGCATTGAGCAAATGAACTCTTGTAGAGAGGAAGACCATCAATGCTCACCTGGAACTTAAAATTTTTATCTTCCTTAAAATGTACATGTTGTCATAGAGGACCCTTGAAATGGATGCCATTGAACCAAAAGTATATCACTGGCCCTGTGCGTTCAAAGAGAACTCATGTGCAAAAAGAAGGCTATTCTCTTTGAACGCACTTTACCTAACATTGTCCTTGTATCTTTTGGCAGACTCGGATTGTAATTGTGAATGATTATGAGTAATTCATTTAGTGATGCATGTGTTAATTTTTTTTTCTGTTTCCCATCTTGTCAAAGTCATCATTGAGGGGACTTGAACTAGTCAGATTGACTCGTTTATGAAGCACTTGCCAGGATGATACTGCATTCAGTCTCATTAACATGGGACAAACAGTCCAAGAAGTCAGTGCCGTCTTCAACAGTGCTGCTTGTCAATGCCACCATACTGTTCCCTCAATAGTGATGCTTATAACACATGCATTGAATAAAGCTGTTTGTCCACCTTGGCTTTTGCTTTTCTCCTGTTGTGTCCAGTAAGATTGTTTTTTTACAATCCGTAATACACACACACACACAATGCATTGCCCTAACATGCTAAGCCTGCATTGGTTTTGAAATTCAGTACTTTAAGACCCTTAAGCAGGTCGCACACCAGAAGCGCCGCTCCGCAGCGCGCCACGCAGCGCCATGCATTTTAGAATTCTAAACATAGGTTTCGATCAGAATACACACACAGGTGCTGCAAGTCGGCAGCGCCACGGCACAGGAAGAAGTTCATTTTTCAGCCTCGCCACAAAGCTGCATCTGATTAGTTTAATGTTAAATATCATTCGAATGTGCGCGTCTAGTGTGTGATGCTTTAAACTGTCATGTGCGCGCTGTGTCGCGGCGCTTCTGGTGTGCGACCTGCTTTACATCACACTGCTTACATGTACGCTTACATTTAATTGAACTTTATAAAACTGAAGCTTGGTAAACTAATTGGTGCATATTAGATGGGAGACATCCAGAATGTGCAGTGTTATGAGTCTCCAAGATTTGAAATTTTAGAACCACTTTCTTGATGACCAGTAGTTCTGTCACAATAATTACACGTACCTTATTTTTGAGGGACAGAATGTGTAAGTGTTATGTAGTTGTCAGTTGACTGTAGAGAACTCTGTAATTAGGGAAAAGATAAAACAGGTAACGTCAGTTTTGTCATTGTCATGCCTAGAAACAGTATAAAAAGCTTAATAAATGTATGATTACTCCTTTTTATAAAATGTTTGTTTAATTGAACTAGAACTAAACCCATAAGAATGCCTATATTCTGCTACTCCTTTGAATGTATTTTTTATCCTACCCAAAATTTCAGGGACAGTTCGTCTAAGAATGACAATTCTATCACCATTTACTCACCATTCACTTGTTCCAAACCTGTTTGGCTGTCTTTTCTCTGTTGAACACAAAAGAAGATAGTTTGAAGAAAGCTGGAAACCTGTAACCACTGACTTCTATAGTATTTGTTTTTCTACTATGGAAGTCTATGGTTACAGGTTTTCAGGTTTTTTCAAAATGTCTTATATTTTATTCATCAAAAGAAAGAAAATCATAAAAATTTGAAACCCCTCGAGGGAGAGTAAATGTTGAGTGAATTTTCATTTTTGATTGAATTGTCCTTTAATCTCAGGAGAACAAATTTGGGAAAAAAATTAAGGTGAAACTAAAAAACTAAGGGCTAAGGATTATTTTATTTATATATTTATTTGAGTTTTTTTTTTCTTCGACTATGGTTTAAGTTGAGGGGTTTCAAAACAGTGGACTATGGAGAGTTATGTATTTAAAACCATGCTGATTTTTTTTTTTATTTAAACTGTTGCTAATGCTACTGTAAATATGGATTATGAAATGAGGGTGTTTTTTATAAAGTTTAAAAAAGTAACAAGAAGTGGGTTATATACTATTTAAAGATTTGTTTCTGTTTTCTGAACTTGACAAAAATTGTAAGGAGATTTATTTGTTTTTGGAAAAGAACTAGAGGATAATAGATTTAAATCTTTATTGATATTTTTAAGGTTGATATGATAGAATTTAGTGGGCTAAATGGTAGTTAGTGATCCCGATTTTGAAAGAGGTCCTAATCAATAGGTGGCACTGTGGCAGTAATACGCTTATAAATAAATCTGTATGCAAAACGGCAATGTCTAGAAGAAGACAACGATACGGTGACCACAACCAACACGAGGTTCATGGCTCTACAGGTAAAACAATTTACTTTGTGTTTCATGAAATGGTGTTATTTTCCTATAGTTTATGTGGTTTTAGTCACGGGGTAGCATTAGAGCAGGGAATTCGGTATTGCGAGAAAAGTTCATAAAAATGGTCACTGTTAACACGGATTATAATCCGTTTTCATCTATATTTGGTGCTGACCACTGTTTTTCCACATAAAAAACTTTTAATACCATTTTGAATCCGGCACATACTTTATTAGGCATAACTAACATTTATGGTTGCGTTTGGAGGTTGTGCAAACTCTGGACAGTAGTCCTTCAGGATCGAGTGAGTCTGATGATTATAGTATGTTAATAAAGCCTGTTTAACCAGTTTCGTGCTTATTAAACCTATCAGTTCGATTTCATACAGGTCACTGAAGCATAGACCATAGGTCACGTGTTACTATTCTCAATGCTGTTGGACCAAACTAATCTACGACATAACTTTTCCCGCCCTACGCGTGCCTGACCACGTCAGTCAACCCTTTCGGTTATTAACCCTGCTTTACTATAGATAAATAAGTACACAAATATTTAATAAAAGTGTGTTAATATAGTTGTGCCATGGTTATCATAGATTTACCTATTTTTGCTAACAGAAACATATTTTAAGTATTTTAGGTAACGTGTATTTTTATTCAGTGCGCCAAAAATCATGGTTTTACGGTAAAAAGTCCTTAACTGGATAGCACATACTTAACAAATAACGTTAAATTAATAAATAATCTTACGATGTTGCAAGGCTGACGTTATTTAATGGAATAACGGTACTTACCAACAACGGACAAATTAACCTTAAGCCTAAAACCGAATAAACAACAACAAAAAAAGTTAATATGTAAACAAACAGATAACTACGAATGAACAGGATTGTTATATGTACAAATTTTGTATTTACAGATAATTCTTGAGCTAAATATCAACCTATTATAAAAAAACAAACGTTGAGGGTGCAATGTCATCTGTTGACAAACAGCCGTTGATCATGTGACGTAATGGCCTCACGACGTGTCACTCAGACAGGGTTAATGGAAATGTCATTGTCTATAATTGTAAGAAATTAATTAATTAGTTAATTTTATATATATTTATTATTTTTATTTAACAATATTCATTATTTTATTTTTTACTATTAATAATTACTTTCTATCACACTGGCATAAGGTTTGTTCTGTTGTCATATGTTGTAAATTTATTTACTAATTGTTGTATTTTAGGGGCACAAATCTCTGGAAAAATATTACTTGTTAATTGTATTGTAATTTTTTCAGGTGTTTTTGAAAGAGTTTTTTCACAAGTATAATATGTTTCCCCCATTCCCCCAATGTTGTGAAAATGCATGAAATGTACTAAATTCCTACATTAAATTAATGGAAAGATTTTTTATTGAGAGGTCATGTACTAGATACTTTATTTATTTTTCTATTTATTTTTCTACAATAAAAATAATTTACAATAAAATTATTTACAATAAAATTCTCACCTGTCTTATGCAGAATTCTCTTCTGATGTTTAGCTGTGGTCCCTTGATCCAGACACTCCTCAGCAACCAGTCTTTGTATGGAATCCACCGTGCTCTATAAAGATCTATTTGTCTCTTCTTCCACTTCCATCAGGTACTTTTTTTTTTTTTTGGCCAACAATGTTAATCTTATTTTTCAATATGTGATTTAGTATAACATTATAACTCATTGCATAATGCCATATTCAATGTTCATTATAAGACTTAAACTGTGTGACAGTTTATGAACATTACTTGAACTAGAGCTGCAAAGTTATATAAAAAGATATTTATTTATTTATGGTTTTGTTTGTTTTATATGTAACATTTGGAATTCGTTAAAGTAAATATAAGCTAAGTTAGGATGAAAGATAACTGTAAAAAAACAAAAAAACTTTGGTGCCTTTTTTGTTGAATCAAATGTAAAAACCCTGAACCAAAAATTTATATGGCTCCATTTTCTAGGTTAATATGCTCATAGTTGATATCAGATATGACTAAAGTGCATGCATCCTTAAGCACAAGTACTCATGTTTAAAATGACAGGTAAAATTTGAAGTACTGATTATACTTTTGTACTCAAGTGAAAGAAAAGAGATGGCCTCAAACATGTCCACAAGTAAAAAGTATCCAATAACCTATCTTTGCTTTACGCTGGTAAATAGATTGCACATCATATATACATTTATACAAAATAACTTTCATTAAATAAATAAAAAAATTATCTAAAAATGCCCATTCTCAGCAGAAAAGTAGCCAAGCAACAAAGCTCTGCAATATTTGCCAACAGCACTTCTTAAAATGTTGCTCCATCATCTTGGCACAAAAACGCACCAAACAGCTGTTCTTACACACTAATAATTCTGTCTTAAATGTAACGCTTAAATTTGTCAGAAACATTTTTTTTCTTTTGCTGAAATAAATGATTAACATCTTTTTTTTCTTCTTTGCTTTAACCCTCCTTTTGACTTAAGGGTAAAAAATGACACTAACACCATTTTAACAGCAAAAAAGCTAAAATACCCTAAACAATATTTTTTCCGTAATCTATTTTTAAAATTACCTTAACATTAAAAAAAGATTATTCATTTTCTGTTTTCATTAAGGTTATACACATTTATGTAGAACGGTTGTACTTCGGAGTAATTTTGACCCATCAGCTATAAAACAATTTTCACACCACAAAACCTACTGACACACGAACACTCCCAACACACACAATAAGAGTCTGCAGTAACACTTTATAACTGCACACTATGAACCATTATATGTACTATTTATGCTTTGTAAGTCCCTTATAAACAACAATTAAAAGCTCAGTTATATTCTTAGGAAAAAATAAACTACTTATTCATTTCTATTAATTTGAAGATGCACAAATGAAGCTGTATCAAATGAAATTGCAATCTTAACTAAAATAAAATCATGGTACTGTTGAAACATCGCTAAATAACATTCACATGTTCTATCATAATATATTGTTAAATCATTATATTGTTGTTGTTTTGCCCATTTTTATGTTATATTTGGACACCCCTGATAATTAGTAAAGTTTAAACTTTAGTCATTTTATTTTTTAAATAAAATTGAAATGATTTATTGTTTATTTGATACAATGCCTTTAATTGTTATTTATAAGAGCACACATATAGAGCACACACACACACACATATGTATGTATATATATATATATATATATATATATATATATATATATATATATATATATATATATATATATATATATATATATACATACATACATACATACATACATATATACACACACACACACACACGTTTATTAATTGTTTAATTATGCAGCTATACCAACTATTTTATATAACTGGTTTATATGGTTTTCATGGTTTATAGCATGAAAACAAAATCATTAAGCAGATTATACATGTGCTTATAAGTAAAAAAAAACAGCATTGTAGCTGTATTTATTAACTGATACTAACATCTAATGTAGAGTTGATGTTTATACAACAAATAATAAATTAACTATTTGCTAATGTTTAATAAATGATTCACTGAATTGTGTAGTTATTTTAAAGTGTTACCAAATCTCCTGTTTTAACTTTTATGAATACTGTCTTGCTAAAAACTGTCACACTTGCATAGGTACCTTTAGCATTAAAAATCCACTCTTTACTGTAATCAAAAAGGTGTTGCCCACCGAGTAAACACTGATGAAATACTACACACTGATGAGGGAAAACCTAGACATTGTAAGAATTGAAATATTACAAATATTTTTGATGTCTTTGACAATTCAAAACATGAGCTGAAGACAGGGCCAATGGACTCCACAACCCACCAGTGGGGAATGCGTGAAAAACCAGTTCCTGCTGCATTTGCATCTGAGTATGCTGAAACTCGGCTTCATCCCCCCAACTCACGCATATGGTCATTTCAATGTTTTAAATTAACCAAACTGACTTTAACCATCATGTTTGATATCATTTGAAATGTCTCAGTGCGATTGGTACAATGGTCTCATCCTCTCAGAAATAGACATAATCAGAACAATAAATATATAACTTCAGGCATCTTTTGAACCACTGTGAGGGGTGTGACTTTTTACACACACCCCCTTCCTTGAGGGAATTCTTGGATTATTTAAGGCAAGGTTTGAGAAAAACTCAGGGCGATTCTGCCTAACCAGATCAGCCCATAACATGGCTAGCTCCATGTTATGTATATTTCAAAGTCAGGAATGCATCTTTTTCATCTTGGATTTATCTTTGATAATTTGATGTTTTGTATTGATCGTTTATGAATTGACTGATTGAATTGGCATAATACATTTACCTGACTAATAAATTGTTATGTTTTGAATGATTCAAACAGACCTCGTGTTATTATCACTGATAAATGTTGTTGTCCATAGCACTACAAGCCACTGTACAAGTTAGTAACGGACTAAAACATGTTAGACGGAGCAGCGTGGCACGCTAAACAATGTTGTTAGAGATCCGACTAGCAAATTGGCATTATTTCATGTATACGTAGACTGCAAAAGGCCAACTATGGATTTTCTATTTAGAACAACAAAATATTGTTGAAACTACTTTAAATGTGGATATTTAGGCCTTCATCTACAAATTTATAATCCTGTGCGATTATTATTAAAATACTTTGTCTTGATTAAGTAGATAACAGATCTATGGGGACCACATAAAAATCTCCTAAATTGAGTAAGTAGTGTTCTGCCTTTTTAGGAGAGTGGTTAATCGCCTCTGTTTAATGACCAAGACTGACAAGCTTGTATTAAGAGATTGTATACCCAGCCGGTGCAAGACTCGAGATGCTAACGGAATCTGAGTAAATGAGAATAAGGTATAATAACAAATCAAAAGAATATTCAATCATAATCTAAAATAATGTGAAAGGAAACAAAATAATCTTATCAATGTTTTATAATTGGAGTCAGTTAAAACGAGGATAAACATATTAATATTCTAAACCATCTCATACTAAAAATGGAGTCAGATATGAGTTAAGTTTAATATAAATCAACATTGTGCACTGGAAAGACCGAACATGCAGTGAACCTTCATCCACCATTGGATACCGTCATTGGACCAACTGATTGGACCCTACAACATTTACAGTTTATGATGAAGATATTGTTGTTTCTTCATGGTAAATGACTTGAATTTGAAGACTTGAATTTAATTTAACTGCATTATTTTAGAAGTTTAGTAAAGCAAACCCATTTTTGACCCGAAGGGCAAACAGTGGAGACTGAATTCTAGGCAACACAAGGCAAACAGCAGCAGATTTCAGCAGTTCTCGTGTTTGTTTTCTTAGATTTTTGTGGAAATTTTATTTTAAGGGGCTATGGCATTAATGTTTTTAATACATCTATTCAATACAAAAGGCAAACGGTAGCAAAACGGATAAACTACTTTTAAAATTCATTATATACATATAGGCAGTGCTGAAACTTGCAGAAATTTCCTCTGATTGGTCAACCAAATCTGAGCTCCTGATATCCCCTCAAAACGATAGTCCTCTGAGTACCAGCACCCATACTTTTAATGATATATATATTAACAGTATTATCAGACATTTGTCATTAAAATAAGATCATAGTTTGCTGACAAAAAAAAATAAAAATAATATATGCCTATAGTTCACCAATCAAGCAAACCTGGTGCTGCTGGGAAATGGCTATGCTCAGCATCAGGTGCACCGCAACAAGAAGTTTGGCGGTGAACTATAGGCATATATTATTTTTATTTTTTGTCAGCGAACTATGATGATTTTAAAGACATGAACTATGATTTTAATGACAAATGTCTGATAATACTGTTAATTTACATTTTTTATTACATTTATGCATACGCAATGAATGTAAGCCTGCTAACTGATCAAACTATAGAATATGTAAACTTAGTTTATATATATATATATATATATATATATATATATATATATATATATATATATATATATATATATATATGATTAAATAATAATTAAAAGTCTGGGTGCTGGTACTCAGAGGACTATCGTTTTTAGGGGGCATCAGGAGGTCAGATTTGGTTGAGTCAAAGGAAATTGGCTGTTTCAGCACCGCCTATATGTGTATAATGAATTTAAGTAGTTTATCCGTTTTTCTACCCCCCAAAAAAAAGAGAAAATCCAGCCAAAAATACTTTTTTTTTATTATTATTTTTTTTAAAACTAGATTCTTTTCAAGACACTTCTATACAGCTTGAAGTGACTTTTAAAGGGTTAACTAGGCAGGTTAGGGTAATTAGGCAAGTTATTGTATAATAATGTTTTTTCTGTAAATAATCAGAAGGTAATATTGCTTAAGGGGTCTAATAATTTTGACCTTAAAATGGCTGTTAAAAAACATTAAAAACTACTTTTATTCTTGACGAAATAAAACAAATAAGACTTTCTGCAAAAGCAAAAATATTATCAGACATACTGTAAAAAATGATTGCTCTGTTAAACAAAATTTGGGAAATATTTTAAAAAGAAAAATAATTCAAAGGGGGGTAATAATTATGACTTCAACTGTATATTGTATTACAGTCCAACTATAAAAGTTTTTGTGTCTCTTTTTATCAGGGTCCAGTGACTACTAGGGGGTCTCTGCAAACTTCCATTGACCACAAGATAAGGATTCACTCAAGGAAGGATTAAATGCCACCATCTCACCCCAACCCTTTGGTGCATCTGCATTGGAAATTATTGGTCAATTTTTGAGTGATGGCCTTTCCACCACCATACCTTTTAAAATAGTAACATATGAATGGTTAATTGTTTTAGGCTGCAGCCATTTATTTTAATTTCCAATAATACATTTTAAACTGAAATTGTATGAAATGCCATGTTATTTTATGTATTGTAAAAAAAACAAGTTATTCAACACCATTTCAACTAATGTCAAGCAATTTTAGAATGTGACTGTTATGCATAATTACTGCATCCTCCTTACGACACAATTCTTATAACAATTGACATAACAGTGCAGTTAAGGTCTGACCATGTCAAAGTTGTATCAACTGCAGCTTTTATACATAAAGTAAATGGGGTTGTTTAAATTGAAACCTTTTTGGAATTATTTATTTTTTGAACTTGAACTGTGTATAGAAAATGCATCAAATAATCAAGCAGTTTGTGGTTTTCCCTGTCTGATGCTTGGACAGTTGTGTGGAACCAGTTTCTCTTCTATGTATTTGATGGTTGTGCTCTTATGTGATGTTAAGAAGAGAATGGAGCACAGTAATTCTAATAACTACATTTTACTAAAATTTATACTTTATAATTTTGTTGAGATTATAATAACAGAAACTGTAAAAAGAATAATTACTAAAATTGTTACATGTAAGATTATTGCTATTATATTTATTAATGAATTATATAGTTATATTCAGATGAGTAAATACAGTATGTTTATAAAACCAGAACATATACACACATTATTATTATTATTATTATTATTATTTATTCCCATAGATGTCAGTGGCTGTTTTTTTTCTCTCCAACATTCTTTAGAATATTTTAGTTTTGTTCAACAGAAAAAAGAAACAGAACTTTAGAACTACTTGAGTTTGAGTAAATGATGAGGGAAATTTTCTTTTTTGGTCAATGATCTTATTGAGTTAAAATTAAGTCCCTTGAATTTGCATAAGACTCTATTGTAGTTATTTGCCTTATGATCGCATAACATGTTTTATTTTGTTATGGCATGGGAAAAGCCAAAATTCAGTCAGCAACGTATACAAACTGTTCTGCTTAATTTTAAATGTTTATGTTTGATTCATTGCGGTCAGCTTTTACAACAGTGATGCTAAATGAACAATTATCTGAACATAAAGTGTATCTTAAATGGAGGATTTTTCCTTTTAAAAGCTTCATTAAAAAAGTGTTGAAAGTCATGTTCATCATTTAGAATTTTTTGGCACATCTCTACATACAATACAGACACCAAATACATCTGTACATGTTCATAAATTGTATGTGCTCACTGATCAGTGTTGTGGATCCTTTTATAAGAGCCTATTTTTTTCTCTTGTAAATAATAACACTTTAAAATGTCATTTACCATGATAATTTAAATTATCTTTTCATTTGCAACAATGTATAAACTGCCATAAGTTAGTCTCAATTTCGTGAGGCAGTGTAAATTAAATTAACATTTGTAGAGTGCATTTCCTCCATAGGCTTTTCCTTAAATCAGTAATATTATCAAGGTTTATTTTTGGAATTGTCGGTTTTGGCTTGTTTATTTGAGGTTTAATCATTTTGAACAAAACATATAAAGGGTTGGGTATAATATACCAGTTCAATCCATGGCATGGGTCAAATCTAAATGACACACAGCCTTGGATCCCCCTCGATATAAACCGAACTGTTACTCAAATGATCAAGCTTGTATATTGGACTTAAAATAGCAGCAACCAAAAATGATGTATATACAGTATATTATGCTTTTAGCAAAATAACAGACAGTAAACGTCGACCAATAAAGCAGGTAAGATTACTGCTGTTATTTATTTTTTGCATACGTTTTGTTTAACCTATTGAAGGATCATATAATCTAAAAAAAATACAAATAAAAAGTGCATGATGTGGTCCAAAATGTGTTTGTGTGTGTGTTTGCATGTACGTGCTGTACGTTTTTTCTTATGAAAATTATATAATTTTTTCAAGTTTTTATAATTTTAGAGCATATTTCTACAGTTTCTATTATTTTAACTAAAAAGAAATAGTGTGCATAAAATGTACTCATTAAAACCGTCATAAAAGATAATCAAGCACAAACTTTGAACGTCATGAATGCAAAATACGTTATCAGTGACATTGCCTTGCACCCCATGCGTTGCGACATCTCTGACAGTGAAAAGAGCTCCTCGTTCTAGTTTAAGCGGGTCACGTCTGTTTACCAGAGCTTTCCGTGCCACGGTAATTTCAGGAGTTTAAAATTCATCGTATAGACGTCGTATAGAGGTAAGGAAGACGGCTCATTAACAAATAAAAACGTTCGATCGAATGCGATGTTTAGCAGATGTTACGATCTTTCAAAGACGTCTCCGCGACGTACCTGTGCTATCTGGGGTTGCTCCCTCGGCGTGCCCACACGCAGTTATTCTTCCTAAAAAGGACAAGACATTAAGTCGCTGGACAGATCGGTGCATAATTATTAAAAGCGTAACGTACATACCTCTAATATGCAAGTCACTTAGCAACCCGCACTCACGGACGCAGTTGTAGATTAAAACACAGCCCAGGAATTACAAAAGCGATCCAGCTGGGGTGACAGCAACACATGCTACAGCCAATCTGATCCACAGATGCTAAGAAATTAAATACAGCCAGTTAAAACCATTACGCAACCCGACGCTAAAGGGAAAGCAAAACAATGTCTACCTGCAGGAACGGAAGGGGCAGAGGCGGGACCAGCGGGACTCCGGTAGTGACGCACAAGCGGTGCTTCAGTACACAACACACACCCAAATCCTCCCTTATATACACACCCAAGAGTTATACGATTGACTAATAGAAAAATCACTTGTGATAACACCAGGTGATCCCACTACATATGCAAATCCAGTAGCCTCTGTTATTACTAATCAAAACATTTCAAATACGTTTCAACTAAGCTGTGGTACACGGCAGGGATGTCCCCTGTCTCCTTTCTTATTTGCAATATCAATGGAACCGCTGGCAGCTAGTATTAACATCTCAGTATAACACCAATAATGACTGAAGGCAGACATCAACATCTGTCATTGTATGCTGATGATATACTTTTATACATCTCCGACCCCGAAAAATCTATACCACCATTATTTGATCTTATCGATAAATTTGGTAGTTTTTCTGGTTTTACAATAAACTGGGAAAAAAGTGAATTAATGCCCATTTCTGATGACATAGATAAAGATTTTTTAGAAAAAGTTCAATTTAAAATAGCCAATAACTCCTTTAAATACTTGGGAATAATGATCACCAGAAAGCCTAAAACACTTTTACAACTAAATTGGAAAAAAAAAAGATAGACCAGCTTAATAGCGATATTAATTTTTGGAAGACACTCCCTATGTCTATGGTAGGTAGAATTAATGCTATAAAGATGGTTGTATTACCAAGATTTCTGTATGTTTTTCAAGCTATCCCATTCTTTATTCCCATACATTATTTTAAACAGCTAGAATCAATAATAACCCGATTTATTTGGGCTAATAAGACTGCTAGAATTAATAAAAAACATTTAAATAAATCCAAGGACCTGGGAGGATTTGGTCTTCCCAATTTAAAATATTATTATTGGGCAGCTAATCTAAATACATTGTCCTGGTGGAGAAGGATTAGTTTGGTGGAACAAAGAGACAAGCCAGAATGGTTAGCTATTGAGGACGCTTCTTGTAATATGACCTCATTACATGCCCTGCTTAACAGCCCAATTAAAATAGACACAAAAAATATTAAAAATAATGTAATTATTTCCAATGCAATTAAAATATGGAAATAAATTAAGGCATACTTAAAAATTCCAGATATGTATTTGGACTCACCAATTTGTAATAATCATGCATTCCCTCCTGGACTAAATGACAAATTTTTCTCCAAATGAAAAGATAAGGGCATCTTAACAATTCAAGATCTTTACAAAGAGGGAACATTTAGCTCATTTGAACAACTAAAACAAAATTACAACCTTACTTCCTCAAACTTTTTTCGTTATCTGCAAGTTAGGGATTTTGTTAGAAAACATATTAAAGATTTTGAAATCGAGAGGCTAGATCCTACATTGGATACAATTGTTAGCATAAACCCTGGAAATATTGGTAATGTGTCTAACTTTTACAAGTTGCTGTTAAGGAAGGTGGACAGCAGTACAGCTAAAATAAGACATGACTGGGAAGATGAAATGGGTATTAACATCTGTGATGACAAATGGGATGAATGCTTAAAAAATATACATTCATGTTCTGTGAACGCAAGACATCATCTGATCCAATATAAGGTCATTCAGAGGCTCCATTATTCTAAATCAAAACTTAACAAAATATTTCCAACAATCTCTTCAAGTTGTAATAAGTGCAGTGTGTCAACAGGAACTTTGTTTCATTCTTTGTGGTCATGCAGTAAACTACAACCATTTTGGAAAAATATATTTAAATTTCTTTCTGAAGTGTACTCAACGAATCTGGAAATGGATCCTAGTATTGGACTTTTAGGAGCAGAGTACAGTCCTTGCAGTAGAAACCAAACACAAGCAATTCTAAGTCTTGCAAAAAAACTCATTTTACAAATGTGGAAATCTGATGCTGTCCCCACCTTTGAAATGTGGGCTAGAGAACTTGGAAATATGTTACACTTAGAAGAACTGAGATTCATACTAAATGACAAATTGTCCATTTTTAACAAGATTTGGGAACCATTCATATTATTTTTGCAGATAGACTGAACTGATAGACTTACAAGACTGTTGTATTTTAATTTATCTATTTATCTTATTTCATTATTTATTTTATAATTTTTTTATAATGTCTCTTTTGGTTTCATTGTCCATGTACGCCTTGCCTCAATTTTAAATTATTGTCCCAGCCAGATCTATATATGATTGTAAATGTTATGCATATATCCCTTTTATTTTTATGAACCTTCCACAAATATTTTGATCAATGTCAAATGGGTGGGGTGGGTGGTAGGGTTTTGCGTTCCTTTTTGTAGTAAGTTGAATTCACTGTAAGTACTACCAAAATAATTTTGATGGTATATTTCTTTGTAAGAACTCAGGCAGTACTGTATGTAATGTATGAAGGTTTTTTCAATGAAAATGAAAATAAAGAGTTAAAAAAAAAAAAAATCTCTCACCCTCGCCTTTTCAAACTACTTTTATTAACTTGGGAAGTTTGTACATATACTGATAATGCTTTGAAATAGCCGTACGTTGCTACATTGATGTACATCTGCTTAAAAAAAACACATGCTGGAAATGTATGTTTTGATGCAGGTTTCTATGGTTTTGCTGGTGTCAATATTGGTCAGGACCAACACTGAGAACAGCTAGACCAGCATTAAAAAAACAGCATCAAAACACATGTTACTAGCATATGATTTTTTTAGCAGGGGTGGCAACTAATAAATAAACAAACACATACTTTTTATTTTTACCAGACAACATCTCAACAGGTTACCAGCTCCCCAGACCTACCTTCCACACCTACACATGCAAATGTGCGATCAGTGGGTACACAATTTTCTTTTCGTACTTTGCGGGACATCCATGTGTAACATATTGTAACCTGCATTCTGGAGATAAACATTCCATTTAACAATCTGGGTGAATCGCCAGGACAATAAAATCACTTGGCGACGAAAAGTCTGGCTTAGTAATCCGTGGTGACATGTTAACAAGTCTGGGAGACTTCACAGAACCACTCTCTGCCTACTTCAAAAGAACATGACAGATAAGATGAGAAAGAAAATGAACTCATCAAATCCAGAACCAGCACAAAACCAATGTGTTATGTTTTGTAAACTTTGTATCTCATTTCTGACTTTTCTTACCTGTGTAACATCTCTTATAACCTGTATGCATGTTCCATTTAGGCTTTGTAAAGCATAAATATTGTAAGGATATGAAAAAGTATGCCGATGTACTTTCAACCCCCCCATGTTTGGTACCGATGGGTTTCTGCTGACATTTTACAACACATGATGCATAGATCGAGACCATAACTCGCATTGCTTTATTCTTTAAAGCCCTGTATTAAATGCCTGTCCGCATGCTTTAGGCGGACGCTCAAATTTGCATACGAGCAGCCCAGAGACAAAGGAAGGTTCGCGCGCAAACTTTCCCCTGAAATCATTGGTCAGAATGCTGTACGGGTCGTCACGTGACCCGCAGGTATAACTCATTCTGCCCTCCCAAACATCTGGGCAGAAAGAGAACGTCCCAAAAGAAGAACATCGTTGTCGGTGGCCTTCGGGCCACACGTGGCTTCCTAAGCCGCATGGACTTTTTCCCGCCACGTTTTCTTTATTTTCCGGCAAAGTAAATTCAGTTTAAAGTTTGCAATCGTGTTCGTCCGAACTGCATTACAAACTCCACGCATCAAAGGACATCAAGAGTAGTTTTCATCACGACGGAAGAGAGACGCATAAAAGAGACCTCCAGACATGAAAAACCAGGTGATTTTAGTTATGCGATTAAGCTGTGCCCCTTTTATCAAAAAGGTGTTTTTTTATATAACCTTGGTGGTCCTTAATGGTGCGTGTGGAACTGAAAGTTTTGTCACTCTTTAATCTGAAATCTATATTTTCTAGCTTTACTATTTCTCTTTGCTGTTACACGTTCTATAGACCCGATATCTCCACGTGGTTTACCTTTGTTTTGTGTTTAATGTATGTTTGTGCGTTTGTTTGTTCGTTACGTCTGACTAGTCAATAAATTCCATTATAATCAAATGAATTGTATTGTTTGCCTCACGAGAAAATGTCACTGAAATACAAATTCCCCTGCCTAGCTATTATAAGTTGTTTAAAACTTTTGAATGATTAATCTACTTCACAAGAAGTAGCAATTAAATTCCCTTTTTCTAAATGAATAGATTACAGTGTCCGCTCGGAAGAGCGGCGGCTCTGCTTGTGTTCGTTTGGTCAAATTGACAATAAATTGATCCGGAATATTAATGATTAATAATAATTCGTTATTGTTGATAATTAATATTCATAATCTGGGAATCCGCTCGGTCGCGCGAGCATGATCATTTACAATCATATGTTTGTTTGACCAAACTGACTGAAGCTTAAGCCGGAATATTAATAATTAAGAATAAACCGTTATTGTTGATTATTAATATTCATAAAATGAGCTAATTTCATGCTACACATGTAAGAAGCAAAGGTATGTTTTATTTTATTATTTAAATATTTGCTGTTGTTAGTTTGTGCATTCTAAAGTTGTTTGTGTGTGAGGTATATTGTGTATTAAATAGCCTGAATAACACAATTTCCTTTTTTTTTAATAGGTATTCAGGCGAAAATGTCTTGTCGTAATGTTGGCACAGAAACAATTTCTTTGCCAAATATGCAGCTTTCTTCAACACCAATTAATGGTTGAATCTTTAGGCCAAGCAAGCGACCTCGTCTTTTGTTGGACGAGGAGGATGACAACAACAATGATGATGAGGACGAGGAGTCTGATTTGCATGTAGAACCACATGACTCCACTTATAATCCGGAATCTGTGGTCACGAAGGATTCGCAGTCATTGTAAGTTAATGCACCTTTATCAACAACTTTGTAGTATACAGAATGTATCATACTATTAAATATAAAATCATAATTTTAAAATATTGATTACACTTTGTTTCAATTAGGTTAGATCCAGAATCGAACTACATGGACAACAAATACATTGTATTTGAAAGCTGCCTTATGGACTTGTTTGGTTCCTGTACCGTCTGTAAGACAAAGTGTGCCATCCAGAAAAGACAAATGGGGACTTTTATTGCACTTACACAGCTGTGTGACAAGTGTAACTACCTACGACAATGGCAGAGCCAGCCCATTGTAGGTACACAGCAAATTCAATG